GGGGGGTGGGGGGGTGGCTGTGCTGTTCTGTACAGCAGGTCTGCAGGATGGCACAGATGGGGGTTGAATGAGACCTGCACTCGCTGCAGATTTACGTTCCTTTCCCGGGTATCTGTCTGTGAGTCTCTCCTCTCTCCCTCTCATTTCTCATTTGACAGTCTGAACATGTGCATCAGTGTCATTGTGCCAAGGCATATGATATGGTGAGCCATCTATTTTCAGATCTAGTCTGTCTGATGCAACCTCACAGGCACTTTGTTTTCTAATTAAATCCAGCGGCTTTTATATGCAAATGATGCTATTGTTTTTTTCTAGGCACACAGATATAGAATGTGTTACCATGAACTGTTGTTTGTTTTCAGTGCCAAGCTATTATCCACAGTATGTTTGGTATGTTATAATCTTTCCCTTGTCTTCTTTGTCTCCCTTCAGATCGCACTGGGAAGCGCACCACCATGCCCGACTCACCTGCGGATGTCAAGACACAGTCCAGGTTGACCCCCCCCACCATGCCGCCCCCACCCAGCACACAAGGAGCACCACGTAACAGCTCCTACACTCCTACGACTTGTGAGTAATGCCACATTTATAGGTCTCTGTTACAGTCTTATGATGTAGAAACAGAGGAGCACGTCTCCTAACAACAGTTTGACATTTGAACTGTTGCACTGTGTTAGTCGGCTACAAGTTTCCAGTGCTGGTGGAGACATCAAGCAAGTTGAAGACAGGCACAGTAATATTTTCCCTGTTAGTAAGACACATCTAACAAGACAACTTCCATTGCAAACATTGCTGCCATCATTGCTGTGTTACAGAGTAAATAAACAATGTGTGATTCCCCTGTTAGTGATTGCAAGTGTTTTGACTAGGAAAGAATTCAATTCTTCCTATAAGCACAAAAATGTGTGGTACTGTATATACAGTACAGTAATTAAAGGTACCACACAGTGATATGGATTCACTGATGCGATACACCTGATCAGTGTCTGCACCTATACAGACTTTATGAAACAGTTCTTATAGCCGCCAGGTTTCAACCAATCCACATTAAGCAGTTTCTTTGTAAATGTAGTCCTAGTGTTCAGTGCTTTCTTTATCAGTTACTATATATCCATGTACTGTAGTCACTGCAGATTAACTCTGTGGTGCCTAGAGTATCCCTGGCCTAGTGTAAAAAATATTTCAAATGACATGACTCTGAGTTGAGGTTATGCATTTGGAACCAGGAGACACTCAGTGCATCCTTCCTCATAGTACAGTTGTGATTTTCAAGTGTAAATCAATTCAGAGGTGACATACTGTATAGCCACCCTATATTTGACCACAGAACTGTAATTCCACCTTAACACAGTCAGGGTTGCACACATGCTCACACATGCAAAGTTGCAATATGCAATGGTAAACTAAAAAAAAAAAACACAATATCTGCTTAACAAGTTGCACTGAGCTTTTCCAAATCAGTCACTCCTAACAACTCCCCCAACAAATTCATTAATGTCCACACTTACAAACTGTTGGAGGTTTGCCATGACACTCACATAGTCTGTGACAAGCAAATTACACCCTAGTATTCACTTAGAAGTGCACACTTAACCACTTGCATGAAGAGCACTAGAATCAAAGAATCAAAGGCCCTGTGATTCAAAATGCTCAGCACTCAAGTCTGTGTCAGTAGTGCTGGTTCTTTACAACAGAGGCGTTATTTTGTTCTCTTTCACAATCACATTCCCTTTCTTAGTCTCTAGTATTTACTTGCTCTCTCTCTCTCTCTGCTGCAAATGCTCGCACTCCACAATTAACGTCGGGGCTTCCATGCAATGAGGGAGGAAAGGCCCAGCTCTCTCATTACACATGCTGAAGGTTTTAGCAAAGCAGTATGCTTTGATTTCCACCCAACGTAATTGTTACCAGATGCAGTTTGAACATGTCGCCTCTCTCCTTGCTTTACAGTGCCGGCTTTGGACAGCAGCCAGAGGGGGAGTGAGTGGATTGCTAGTCAAAACCTAATCTCATTAGAGAGAAAGCTTTATGCTGCCTTGTATGTCTTTGTACACCAACTGCCCCGTAGACACACATATACTGCTGCTCCCTCGCTGTGGCACAATAGGGGGTCACACTGTCCCTGCTTGTTTAGACTGCAGGGAGAAAGGCAGAGAGAAGCAACATGTCTCCAAATGCAGAAATATGTTTTTTTTATGAGGATGCCACAACAGATCAAAGGGGCCACAGTGACTGAAAACAAATGTTGGAGATAGTGAATGTTTTCAGGGGGATGTAAATCATTGGTTAGGTCTGCATGAAGCCGGCCTATGTTGTTTTCTTTGTTGGTGGTAAATGCAGTCATGGATCTTAGGTTATTTTTGTGATTTATATCCAGCAAGACAGAACACAGTGTTGGTTTTCACAGCAGCAAGTGTCTATGGAAGTTTTATTTGCCAAAAAATATTTCCCATTTACCCCTTGTTCGCTTAACAGTTTTCTGTATATCCCTGTCTGACACAGTAACCAATGGCAGTAGCCACTCTCCTACGGCGCTCAACGGAGCTCCCTCTCCTCCAAACGGCTACAGCAACGGTCCTAGCTCCTCCTCCTCATCGTCGCTGGCCAACCAACAGCTGCCGCCAGCCTGCGGTGCCAGGCAGCTCAGCAAGCTCAAGCGCTTCCTCACAACTCTACAGCAGTTTGGAAATGACATCTCACCTGAAATTGGCGAGCGGGTCCGCACGTTAGTGCTAGGACTAGTGGTGAGTGGCTACTGTGTAGCGTTTATTCAAAGGGCTTTAGAGTGAATGTTGAAAACTTAAGTTAGTAGGAATAAGTGAATCCATTTTTTAAGAACAATTATTACCTCTGCCAAGGAGGTAATAATTCCTGGATCTGATCCAGATTCTGGATCTGATGGCCATTCAAATTTAACATTAAAAACCCCATTTCAGTTCCATGCGTGTGTGTTTGTTGGTTAGCAGGATTACAAATAAACGGCTGAATGGATTCATCAGCATACTTTGTACACATTGGTGGGGACCAACCCTAGAAGTGATTAGATTTTGGCTGAAAAAGGTTCAATTCATGCAAAAAATAAATGAATAAATAAACAAACCTAAATCACAAAAAATCCTTTCCCTAACATGGGGTAAAATTAAAAAAAAAAAATTTAATTTCATATTTTTGTCAAAAGTTGTCAAAATGATTTGAAATTTGACACGCATGTACTGGGTGGCAATGTCTGTCACCAGACTAAATTTCATCTGGATCTGATCCAGATTCTGGATTTGATGGCCATTTAAATTTAACATTAAAAACCCCATAACCCATATTTTCTGCCATAACGTCGCCTATAATGAAGACAGAACCCTGAAATATTCAGGTAAGATACACAGCATAGCTGCCTATCATTCTAGATCTCACTTTTCACAGGGGACCCATTTGCGTGAGTGAACGCTGTGCCTTGGCAGAGGTACATGCGCTCTGTGAGTGCTCTTGTTAGCACTTGTTATGCATGCCTGAAGTACCAGATGGACAGGGTTTACTAAATCTAAAAAGTTTTCATAGTAACAGATGAATATGTAAATAACTTTCAAATATGTGTCACTAATTGTGAAAATATCCATGGGTATTTTAAAGCCTTTTTTAAGTTCTTTTTATTTTCTACTACTTAAGTCATCTGGTCCTTCAGGCACAACACTTGGAGAGATTTGCAGATCTCTGCCTTCTGGCTTGATCTAATTCGTAGTACTTTCTTCTGTGTAACACAATGCCCAGCAAAACAAGGCCAGAATTTTGTTTTCTGTGACAAAGTATGACCTCAAACCATGAAACTTCCATTTTTATGCCACTGATTCACTTTGGATTAAATTGCATTGCATTTATTTAAAATGAAAAACAACATGCGACCGCATGAGGAAGAAGAGTCCTGGTGCAATAAGGACAAAACATTATCACTGAGGTTGTGCAGGCATCTTGTAACCTAACATGACTCAGCCACTTGTAGAATAATGACCATATTGATTTATTTAGCTAATAAATTTATTGCAATAAAAGTGCAATTGTACCTTTTAGAGAATGCACAAATACAAATAATCACTCTTCTAACCCACATAAAGATCCAGTAAAACAGCTTGTGATAGCCAACACCTCAATTAGAATTGATCTAAATATAATAATAATACAGTACATAAACAACATGTATGCAAAAAGTAACAAAACTATAACTCTGAGTATGATCAGTGCATGTGTGGAGACATCTTTCCTGCACTCCAGAGGTTTCTATTAATAAAAATGAAAAATACAAATCAAGCCTGCAAAAGTCAAAAAAACATTTATCTAACAGAGGTTTTCAAAAGACAGATGTGATTCTGCAGCTTTGCTGCCAGACGTATAAAGGCTATATCACCAAGAGTGGTTTGTATAAACTATATGTGCAAATCTACAGATTTATCACGTCTCTGTGAGCTGAGAAAATGTGAGCATAACAAGCAGGGGAATACAAAAATAGTGACTGAATGTTGTGCAGAAAGGAGGAGGAGGCAGCGGAGGAGATGGAGGGAGGAATTTTTTTAATTAGCCACACAGAGCATAGCCTCCTTTTGGCTTCACGATGTTTGTTTTTCTCACCGGCTGCATATGCTCATGCCTCTCCTGTGTCCTTTTGGCTTGCATACCTCCCTCTCCATCTCTCTCCCTCTCTCCCCCACTGTCTCTCTGTACCTCCTCCTGCCTTATTGAAAAGAGTGACACCGTTAATTAGCTAGCTGTGTGCTGGGGAGAGGGAGAGAGGGAGACTCAGGAGGTTTCACTAGCTGTCAAGAACAGCCCCTACGCAATCTGGGCGAACAGATGTAAGACTGAATGAAACAAAATTCAGGTCTGGGAAATAAAGCTGAGAGTGTGGGGAGGAAAAATAATATCTGCAGCTTTTTTATGTTCTCTGTCTCTCTTGATTTTTTTTCCTTTGTTTGTGTTTTTGCCTTTTATATAGTAGACCCCTTTCCCATGTGCATGCACACCTCTTTCCTCACTTTTTATTCTTTCTCTGCTGCTCCAAACACACACACACACCTCCTGTTTGCAATCATACAGAATACTCACTAAGCATATTACCTGCTGCCTGGTCCACACCCACACCACACTGCTGCGGTGTAGTTTGATCACCTTGGGCTTATCTAGTCTGTGAAAAGAGACGGACAGTGATGGAGAGAGGTAACATGGGCATGGAGCACTATGGCACCAGTGTGATAGGCTCGCGTTGTGATAAGGACACAACAGAAAGCATGTGTGTGAATATCCAAATGACTGCCCAAGTGATAGAACCAAAGAAAAAAGCACTTAAAAGACAAAAACTGAAATGATATCCCCTGTGATGCTACTAAGAGGCTGTATTTCAAATAAATGAGCTTCATCTATCAACATCTGTGCAAAACTGCAAGAAATATATTATTTAATTAGATGGAAATTAGAGAACGCACTGCAAAACTTAGCCCAGCTTCATTCATGTCACAAATACACAGACAGAAATGTTGTAGCAGTGACATATATTTCAACATTTCATTGTGTGATGATGTGATTCCTGCAGGTGTATTTCTTTGTGTGTGTGTGTGTGTGTGTGTGTGTGTGTGTGTGTGTGTGTGTGTGTGTGTGTGTGTGTGTGTGTGTGTGTGTGTTAATTGAAGGAGATTGTTTTCTGTGGGTCTTTTCACTCTGGCCTGCCCATATGCTTCCTATTACAAAAAACCCAAACCATTTGCTCCAGGTCAGGATATAGCTTAGCTTCCAATAAGTAATATTATCACTTAATGCTTTCCATGTGGATTTATGTGTTTTCTCTCCTTCTCCCTCTCTTCCCCAGAATTCCACATTAACCATCGAAGAGTTTCACTCCAAGCTCCAAGAAGCCACCAACTTCCCTTTGAGACCTTTTGTCATACCCTTTCTGAAGGTAGATATTTAAATATACAATTGCTACAGAGGGTTTGCCTGCCTGCCTTCCCGACTGACCAAATCTGGAAGACATTTAGTCAGATCAGATCCAGATGTGCCTTCTTATGTTCATGATATCTATCCCAATTTTTCCTCTAGTTTTGGTGTCTCTCTTCTCTTTGAACTTTTATCTTTCTCTTGTATCTATTCTTTCCCTGCTTCTCACTTTTTACTGTTTTACATAATGCTGTCATTCTTGTTCAGTCTACTCATATCATCAGATTTTTTATTTTGCTTGTTCAATTTATTTCTCTCTCCTCCAAATTAAATAGTGCACAAATCATTTCAGCACTACCTCTTTTTGGTTCACTCCTTTTAACCCAGCAACTTAGTTCAGTTCATAATTTTTCTGCACAGGATTTCAAATGGAAAGAAGACTTTTCTAAACTTGCTTAGCAGAGCACAATGAATACGGCTTTGGCACGTGGACAACACAACCCTTTTCAAGTGTTTATTTCCGGCCTCCTTCTCAGTTTTCTCTCCGGCTTGTTTTGTCATCAGTTCTTCATCCCACTAAGCCACATCTTCAGCAAGTATTTCCCATTTTCAGCCATTAGCATGGTATATTGCCAGAGGGAGGAGCACCCAGCCGTGCCCTTGCTTTAGCCCATTTGTCACCAGCCGCCTTGTTTCATTCACAGTAGCGCACTGCACATCTCTTTATTCCAGCCTGGGTGAGAGAAAATAAAGGGGGATGGTGTTGTTTATATGCTGTGTGTATAGACAGGTGAACTAGGGGCCATTAATGGGCATAATGCATCATACAGGTGTATATTTTGGATGTCTGCAGGATTTTAGGAGCTAAAGTGATCTGGGGGTGAGACTGGTTGGTGGTGGTTGTATGATGACTAGTGGGACTGTAGTTCTGATCATGTTATGGGGTCTATGTGAAGCTGAAATCAATATCAGTGCTGTACTGGGAGATGGATAGCAGGGACAAGCCTACTGTACTATTTAACGCTGAGCTCACTTGTTTCTGTTACACACCTTTTGAAAGGCTCTTCCGCTTTCTGACTTTCATTTTTTTTGTTTCCCCTCAGTCATCCTCGAGTTCTCACTGTATGTTTATATCTACCTTTTCCTCTTTATCAGTTCTCTATCCGTCCTTCCCTATCTGTTTGTGTCTGAGTGACACACGTGAGGTAAATGTTATTTATAAAAGCACAACACTTGCTTCTCCTTGAACACAATGTCATCTCACTTTCTGCCGTCTGTGAGCATGTGTTCGTTTGCAGATGTGTGCATGCGTGAACTGACATTCACAAGCTTATATTACCCACTGATGTCTTGCATGGATGTTGGCATCAGGAATTGGACCCACCAGACCCACTGTTACTGGCTGTCCGCTATACAAACAGGGACATCATGTCCTCGGTCTGTCCTTCCTCACATCTCTCCTTTATTTTTAAGCGTTCTTCTTCTTTTTTCATTCACGTTCTCGTGTGTTCTTTCTCCTCATCTTTATCCCCTTCCTGTCTCAATTTATCTACTGTTCTCCATCCGTCTATCCCCCTGTCCCTCCATCCCTTCTCCTCACCAGATGGTTAGTGTATCACTGGGATGGCTGCAGAAGCAAAGATGCAACTCTTTTTTTTCCCTCCATTGCTCCTTCTCTGCCTCTCTCTCTCCCCAGTCTAATTTTAGTGTCTTCCCACTGCGGAGCCTTTAATGCCAGCTACCATATGGTAGCGGAGAGCAGTTGGGGGTGTGGGGGAGTTTTTATAGGTGCGTCGAAGCACAGCTGCAACAATGCGCATCACAGCGCAGAGTTTTTCATTACTCTAATGTTAGACCGAGCCGACCCCTCCGTTCTCCTCACTCCCACCCATCCCACTTAGCTCCTTTCCCCATCTCTTAATACTAAACCACAAATTGGTTGGAACACTTTACTGGAAGGATACAATCATAAACCACACAGCGCCAGTGACGTGATGTGTTGGCGGCTTACAAAGTAACAATGTTTCTCTGTTTTCAAGTTAAAGCTTTTTTTAAGTTTGCCCTCATCTTAGCTGTCAAGTGGTTTGTTTTTCTTGTGTCATGCTGAAGCGAGAGGAGCGCTGTGAGACAGAGAGTTAGGATAGGAAATAATTGAAATAGGACAATACAGACATGCAAAAACTAAGTCACCTACATTCTTCTAGTTGATGAAGTGCAGTGTATCCCGAACATGGCATATTCTGAATTGTTTTTTGGCACCGTTTGACAAAATGTCAGATCCAGTATTTTCACAATAAATCAAACAGAGCAAATTTTAGATGCAGCTGCTGAGCACCACTTGAAATTATCCTTTTTTGCAAATGCAGATGTTGGTTACCATAGTAACGTGCAAGCAAATCACCATACTTTATCATGTGAAAAATGATCCAGTCTCTTTAGTGGTCTGCTTTTCTTGACTCAGTCTTTTGTATCCCACACCTCTGGCAATTAGGATGACCTCAGGTTAATGAAAGATGAGTTCACCTGGGTCAAAGCAATCTTTTTTCAGAGGATAATTACAATCATTAACTATTAACGGGCCATTAATTTGGGCAGGTAAAGCAAAGGCCAGCATTTCTTTTACTACAGCCACTTAATTGGACAGGGATTTTTGTTTGATTATGACACATAAATACAACTAAACAGTAATTGTGTTTTGTGATTGTTTTTCTGTCTGCACATGCCAAAGACAAGAGTGAGTGGTCAAAGAAATAGAGGTTATAAAATTTGGAGGGGAAAAAACGGAAATGAAAAAACAAAGGGAGGCTTAGAGACATTATGTTATTGAGGACCAAACAAAGCTTTAACAGACCAAGAACCTACAAAGATGGCCTCTCCAAAGACTCTGGTGGTGGTCTTTGCCAAAATAGCCCCCACTCTCATTCGGAACCTGCCTGATGCAACACTTTCATCTTCTTGCTTCAAATTGCACCCCATCAGATGTCTTTGAAGTCGATGCTCACATACCTTCATGATCCTGTAACTCCTAACAAGAAAGTAGATCCCCTTGTTCTGTCAAAGAGACTGAAAAAGCTGCTGTTTATTTAAAAAAAAATCTATATGCCATAGAGAAAGGGTTAATGCACTCTGAGTCACTGGAAGTGGTGGTGGTTCAGCGGGAATGAGCAAACGGGTTAGATGACAGGATAAATGGATCTCCTGTTACCTCAAATTGATGTTTTTGGAATGAAAAGACTGATATCATAACATATTTTTATGTGTAAGTTTGGGGCTTTTTGGGCTTTCTGAAGGATAGTAAAGTTTTATGTGTTATGAAATATAAACAAGCTCAGTGTCAGATAGGTTCAGCTTTACATTTTGAAATGTATCAGATTGATTGAACTTGTCTTATGTCCGCTTGAACATAAAACATCAAGAACCTATTATATTGTGCCCAATGCCATTGGTATTATTTTCATTTTCACATATACAGCTGCTCTTTTAAGAGTCTAAGTTGATTTTAATTACCAGTGTGGCAACACAGACACAATTGCAATTGTATTTTACTATTTTTTGCAGCTAAGTTTTATTTTGTTTTCACTACCAGATATGCCTGTTTAAGACATTTTGCTCAGCTCAGTCTGACAACTGCCACTGTTTCCCACATTAGCCAAAAAGAAAACAGAGAAAGAAAAATTTGTGACTGTTTTTATTCTTTTTTTACATTTGTTGAAAGGCAAAATGGCAGGTGTGATATTTATATTATTGCTTTTTTTGTCAGGGTTGTAATGTAAACTTCCTGTAGTAATTCAGTGTTGCTCCCATCTGTAGGCCAACCTACCGCTCCTTCAGAGGGAGCTGCTCCACTGCGCCAGGCTGGCCAAGCAGAACCCGGCTCAGTACCTGGCCCAGCATGAGCAGCTGCTTTTGGACACCAGCACCACCTCCCCAGTGGACTCCTCTGAGCTCCTGCTGGACGTCAACGAGAATGGCAAGAGAAGGACGCCAGACAGGTGAGTGAATCAGAAAGTCAAAGTGATACTCGTGGATTTTAGTGTTGAGTGAGCCTAAGTTTGGGTTAGAATCATTGTGCAGCAACAGGGATCAGAATGTAGTGTTTATACATTTACCAGCTTTAAACATTAAAGCAGCTGAGGCTTTTCATTCCTCTATTATTTGCTCTCATGCATAAATCCCTTTGAGTCTGCCTGCATCCCCATGAGCCCATACATTACTCCACAGACACACGCTGAGGCAATACACGGCAATAGTGTGCTGTGTTAATGTATGTATGGGAAGTGTCTGTCAGTGTACCACCGGGCCTCGTGACATGCTCCGTTGGATAACTCAGCTTCTGGATCCTGCTCTTAATGGGCCAGAACTGAGGAGAAGAAGAGAAGGGAAAGTAGACCTGGCTGCAGCCACACTCACACATGTCCTGAAGACTGAAGAAAAGAAGACAGCTCAATGAAAAGTGTGGATGTGTGTGAATGTTTTTGATACCCAAGTTATCCTTTGCTTCCGTGTTTGATTGTGAGTACAGAGTGTGTGTGTTTATGTTTCGCGTCAGTTCAACCCCCACCCCCCCGACCCCAGCCAAATCATTACATCCATTTGTTGTCACGGACTTCGGTAATGACTCAATGTTCTCTGCTCTAATGGACAAGCACTGAGACGTGCCATCCAGGGACAAACAGCACTGTAAAAACCTGTAGTCCTCTCTCTAAAAAAGCAACAAAAAGAGAAACAAGCAAGACCGGTGGTCACTGTGTGTGCACGCTTTAGACTGGGACTCATTCCCAGGCCAGTAAAGTAAATGTGGTAGAGCTGCAACACCAATAAAATATGACATCAGAATTTATATCTAGATTTGTATGCATTTTCTCCAAAAGTGACTTTGCACAGCGATTTTACTCATCACAGTAACAAACAAACCCTTAATAAAAGCTATTACATATGTACAGACCCGTAAAAACACCAGTTCTATATTTTCAACTTACAGGAAAGAAGTTTGTGAGCATTTTGTGTTTTGCTGTGAGTTTGTGCCTGTTCGTGGTCTTTTGAAATACAGTGTAATTCCCAGGAGTCTAAAATTTTTTAATACAGGCAGGGGAGGGGAACATGTACTTTTTATATTTGCTGAGGGACAGAAATGCCGAATGCGATATTAATAATTCTCACCTCTCTTTTCCCTCAACAGCCGGATAGGCAGACTTTTTCTGTAATACCTGCATATTTGCAGGCCGTCTGGTGCATATGGGAGTGAGCTTAGGGGGAGAGGTGTGCATGTAAATGTGTGAGAGAGAGAGAATATATGGAGAGAGAGGAAAAGTAAGTAGGCATCTGTATTCAGTGAGAAAATGTAGTCAGTTTGTGTGAATGTATGTGTGCGTGATTCTCTATCCAGTGTGAAAGTGTAGAAAGGTTCATGTACAGTATGTGCACCTCCAAATGTGTCTGGGTGTGTTTGTGTGTGTGCGCGTGCCTAGGGAGATGGGCTGATAACACATACAGATGAGACTCCAGCACCAATACGGCTGGCTAAGCACCTCTGCTTTCTGCTTACCTCTGCTTTGCATTCCCTCTTATTGGAGCGCTGTGTCAGAATATCGGAATTTGAATGGGAATCCTTAATTACAAACAACAATGCTGTATCAGTGCATCCTGATTAATACAATGGCCTGTAGAAGTCAGACCAGGAATATCACAGCACAATTTGCATACTAGAAAAAGTGTATGTCATGTATAATTTTGTATAATTCAGCATATTTTCAAAGCATTAATTTCATCGGTGGCACCTAACATAATTACACTGTGCTATACCAAGTTTTTCTTCATTAACAGAAATACTGTTCTCACTCACTAATTGATTAATTTACATGTTTGCATGTGTGGGTTTTAGAATGATAGCATAGGGGACCAGAAAGAAGTGTTTGTCATTCAATATATATGTGAACAAAATAAATAAAAGTAGTAGGTGTCGGGCCATTGATAGTACGTACATGTCAACTGCAGGGCAGGTAGGCAAATTAAGTGAGCGCACATCACTGCATTGTATAGGTGACTGTGAACATGTGTGCATGTGTGCGCTCCGGTGGCTGTAGATATAAACACTGTTGCAGCAAGAAGGCTGAGGAGATGAGAGTGAGGCTGGGGGAAGAAAAGAATGGGATAGATGAGTCGAGGGAGGCAGGGAGAGACGGGCGGATGGAGGGGAAGAGCATTTTTGGATGAGCATTAGGAGCCCATAAAAACAGCTCATTAAGAAGTTCAATCTGTTCATCGGAGAGGGAGAGAGACGGGGAGGAAGAGGAGAGGAAAACTGGAGGATTGCAGATAGTGGGGGGAGGTTGGCGAGATTTAACTGTGAACTGAAAAAAGCTGAGAACACACAGACACAGACGTACATATGTAAGCATGAACACACACAAACACACCTGACCACATTAATCTTTGACAGCAAGCTAACAAAAATCCACCTGATTCCCTGGAAGCTACTTGTATGAGCATTTTTATGTGTGTGTCTGCAATTTGTGTGAGCACACACATTCAGGCTTCAGTTGTTTATGTGTGCATGTGTATGTATGAATGAATAGACCAGTTTTCAATGAAAGAATTCCAGGAACAACTGTCTTTAATGGAAATTTATTTCTTTGGTAGGAGGGTGAACTCAAACATTTGCTATAACAGAAAGTGGTGGAATAGTTGTATGTAATGTAATGAACAAATTTTGAATTCGACATTTATACACAATATAATGAAGGTATCACACTGATTTGTGCAGTGTCCTCTCAACTCCTCTCCTTTCATTTCCTTTCCTTGTCTCCTAATCCATTTTGCCACTTGGACTCTTTTTAGTTATTTACCAGGCTATCACTGTAACAAGAACGTGTTCAAATCTGGTAACAACAGCAAACAGTCCGGCCATACTTGGTGTCATAATCGTTCTTGAAATCTTATCTCACTTACTGTGCCAGTAGAGTAAAAATAATTGTACATGTGTCACTTTTTTCAGGATTCTTGTAAAAAAAAAAAACTATTTCTATTAGAAACAAAGGAAAGATCTCACTTCACTGGGAGCCTATTAACTTAAGACGCTAGATGCAGTGACTGAAATTCAAATTCAAACCTCATCTTTCCCTGTCACCACCCAGAACCAAAGAGAACGGCTTTGAGCGAGATGGTGCCCTGCACCCAGATGTTCACCCCAGCAAGCGGCCCTGCACCATAAGCCCCGCCCAGCGCTTCAGCCCTTCCAATGGGCTCTCCTACCAACCCAACGGCCTGCCTCACCCAGGCCCGCTCCCTCCACAGCACTACAGGCTGGATGACATGGCCATCGCCCATCACTACCGCGACAGCTACAGACACCCCAGCTCCAATCACCGGGAGATCCGGGAGAGAGCCAGGCCTATTGGTGAGGACGTGGGGGAGGTTAGCGGGTATATTAGTGTGTACAGTATCTGGCTGTTTATGTGTGTGCATTTGGATTTTGAGACAAAAACTAATCCTGCTAGATGGCATAGTGTTAAAACATTTACTCAGTAGTAGTACCACGAGAAACATAAAAAGGATTTTACCAAAGCACACAGTTACAACAGTTGCATCATTTTAAATTCATTTCTCAGACAACGCAAAGCAAGGCGGCTTTATTTCTATGGCACATTTCATGCACAGAGGCAATTCAGTGCTTTACATAGGCAAAGAAAAACAGCAACAGCATTAAAATCAATAAGCATTAAAACCCAAATAAAAACAGTTAAGGCAAAATGAAGATAAAATATTGTTAAAATGAAATAAAATGTGGGTTTCTTTATACACTGAGTTCAATAACTTTAATAATAATGATAATCAGTCAGGTACAGCATGTGTTGGTGCAGCATGTGTATAGGCAGTGTGTCTGACCACAACAAGAGCACAAACCAAATGCTGGACTAAAGAACTCTGAGATGTATGAGTGCACACCAGAAGCACGTTTAAGCACAGTGCAATTGTATTAGAAACATTTTTCTGGATGGGCCGAGCCTCGACGACGCTGTAATGAGAACTTTGGCTCTGTTCTAAATATAGGATAGACATTTACAGTGTCCGTTGTCTCGCCTCATGATTGATGTTTATTGGACTAGAAGCTCAGTTATTTGAGTATTGCCCTCAGGGTGGCATAGAAATAGAAGGGGGGAGTGCCAACCAGGAACCTAATGAAGGATAGATGAAAGGGAGCGCAAGCGGAGTAATGTCACATCGATCCTCTGTGTCGTACTGACTCACCCTTTGTTTATCTTTCTGTCACTCTGTCTGTCTGTCTGTCTGTCTGGTTTTCTTTCTTTCTTGCAGGTATGCATGCAGGGACCAGGCAGGAGGAGGTGATTGACCACAGGCTGACAGACAGAGAGTGGGCTGAGGAGTGGAAGCACCTTGACCATGTAAGAAAAGTAATAACATTTTTATTACTATACCCTACAATTCTGTCTCTGTAGGTAACTGAGCTTAATGAAGTCCTCATTTCACTTATTTTAAGATTATTAAATTGTAATACAACGTATAACATTACCAACTGTCAATAGAAAATTTGTGTTATCTGCATTATACAAAATAAAAAGTCTGACTTTCTTAATAAGTGGATGTGTGTATGGGCATGTTTGCATGTAAATATGTTTGTCTTCAATGCATCAAACAATTAATTGATATTTTCATTGTGTGTTGACCCTCGATGTTGTGCATGCATTCTGTTAAAGATGCTGTCTGTAACATTTTGCATGCTCAAAAATGAAATATGACAGAACATCTAGTGTCACATTTGTCATGCTTTTTCACTGTTTTGATTATGCAATGAAATTTTAAAAACTAATCCAACCAGTTATGTGTGTAATGCATACCTGAATATAATAATAAGTAAAATGAGTGTCACATTTGTCATGCTTTTTCACTGATTTGATTGAAAATTAAGGTGTGACCTGACAAACATAATCAATAATTCAACAGTGAGTGTCTGTCCAAAATATGCACTAACCACACTCCACCAGAAAGATAAACATAATAGTGATACAATAGCTAAAATATTATATGGCAGACATCAGCTTTAATTTCAAACCACCACTACTGAGCTTCAATCAGTCCATCCATATCTATGTGTAAACCCAGCGCCATGTCCGCTCCCTGTCACCCCCAGCTGTTGAACTGCATCATGGACATGGTGGAGAAAACAAGGCGCTCGCTGACAGTACTGCGGCGGTGCCAGGAAGCTGATCGCGAGGAGCTCAACTACTGGATCCGACGATACAGTGATGCTGAAGAGCTTAAGAAGGGCACCCCTAGTGGGCAGTCGAGGCAGCAAAGCCCAGCAGCACAAGAAAATGCAACATCTGGTAGGGGACCACACATACTGTACACGTAGAGATGTGAAAGGACACAGTGACCAGGAAATTAGTATCTGTCTGATTACAAGTCTGCTTAAAGCCATGTTTCAATACATTTCACTTGCCGTATGGTGATTCCAGTATGTACAAAATAACCAGTTTGTCAAATTTAATGAATTATTCAACTTAAAAGACTTTGTTCGTATTTTTAAAAATGGTTCAATTTAAGTTCTCTTCTGGTATCTCCATTAAACTTAGCTTATCTTTATGGGTTAAACTGAACATTAGCATTTAGTTTGAAATACTCATCCAGCCTGCTGCCTGGATTCACTCTAGTACTACAGAGCTTGATTCTGAATTTGGGGTCCCCCATGGTTCACTTCTAGGTCCTCTACTCTTAAGTTGGTACATGCTGCCATTAGGCCATATCACCTATGTTATCATGATTATACTATAGGTTGTACATGTTCCTGTCCCCCCCTGAAAACCTGAGCAACTTTACAGCTCACTAGTTTATTGCATCAGTGACAACATTTTTATATTTATTCCTTAAACCTTTGTAACTCCCCAGAAATTCACAGGGAGCTGCTGCACCGGCCTGTGTCTGGCTACGTCCCTGAAGAAATCTGGAAGAAAGCTGGTGAGCAGCACTTCCATGCCTGCAATCATGATCACTCTCACACACCCTTTCTCTCTTTCTCTGTATCTCTCTGCAGTTTGTAAGACACACTGCAGAAATCAAAGCCATCTTTTTCACCCAGAAAACTCAGGGCTGGAAGTGGATGAGAGGTGCTTCTTAAAACCCCATTCTGCCATCTCATTCAAGTATAGTCTGCAACTTCCTCCCCTTGTAGACTTGAATTTATAGTTCAGTCTGCTTTTAGAAAATCATTTACAGTTGGAAGTTAAAATTTTGATTTGCATCACCACACTCTGCACACTCCAGATATGTCAGGTTGTAAAATAATTTTATTGCACCAGTCAAATAAAGGACATAAGTAGGTTTTACTACAGGTGCAGTGGCTCTGCTGTTTAAAATAGGGTAGTTAGGCGTCCATTGCTTTTGGCATTTTTGTAATCCCCTTCACAATAGACATTGCAGCAATTTTATTTAACAGAAGTGTTGTAAAATTGTAGAGGGAAATTTGTAGGGCCAGTTTAGATCAAGTATTGAAACTAATTTGTTGTTTAACAGCTTCCATTAGTTGCCATTAAACCTTTAGCGTACACAAACAGCGTTCTTTATAGTCACGAGTGCAGCTGCAATCACCATTACTGCTGTCATGAAAAAGTGAAAGAATTTTCACTTGAGGGTTTGATGCTTGAGGAATCCACTTTGTATTCACTGTCAGTGATACAGTATATCTGCTTTTTAAACCTCTTGGAGAAAAGAAATTGTCCCCTTGCTTGACCAAGCATGATGTGTGAGATACTCAGAACAAGTAATATGCATTTAAATTGAATTGAGTATCACCATCGGGACTCTGCCTGCTCTCCAGTGCTCTCCTTTCCTCACCAGCTTTGATCGATCTTCCATCTAAGGCATTTGGTGTGCAATCACACATCCATGGACAAGGCATATATCACACAGCATTGAGGCAGTTTCCATGACTTCAAGCAGCACAGTAGGTTAAAGACAAAACCACCCTGGTTTAAAAATTTAGCTCAATCACAATGGAGTGCAAACGCTTCTGTCTTTAGAAAAGCACATATTCTCTCTGGTACTGAAAACAGATTTTACATTTTTACTACAAGTGTAATTTGTACAAAGGAAAGAAATAAAGTGAAGCATATTTGTCAGACATAAAGCTGTATTTATCTTTTTTACGCAGGATAAAAGGTGCCCCGCTATGTTACATTCTCTTTGCATTCTTCTCAGGATTTCTGCTATCTTTTTCACTTCAGTCACATATATTCTGGCTGAGGAGAGACAGATTTTAATATGACCCAGGGAGGATTGCAAAGTAGGACTTTTAACACAATGGAGTGCGGTGGTGAATACATCTGCTTGAAATGGGCAAAATGTTTACAGTTGGTGATAAATATTCAAGCACCTTGCACGGTGTCCTACCGGTTTCCCACTTCCCCTCACCGCATGCGCCTCTGGGATCACAATGGAAATGCATAATTTAAATATAAATTGGCTAATTTGCATACGCAATTAGTCAAGTTACAGGCCTGATGGGAGCAAACAAAAAGCCCTCCTTTTGCTTTGACGTTCGGTTGGAATACCACTGCTTAACACCCGTGCAGCAAGGTTATTCATTCCACAAAACAAGTATAACATAACACATTGCTCCAGTTCTAAAGCACATTTTCTGAGCATTTACCTAGGATTAATTGGACATCTTGAGGCACTTTACAAATTAAAAGAAAATATATATGTCATATTGTTTGCCAATTTTTAAATAAGACAGTTTAATTATTTTCTATTAAAATATCACAGACTAACTGGGTAAACATGCTACGGTTCCTGTCACAACATAGTCATTTGATATGTATAAATGTTTGGTTGAACGTTGTTGTTTGGTTCAGAAATATAAGTCAAAGTAACAGTGGTGTTCTATACGAAGATAAGAACATCAGACTTTTTAAATCCTGTAGTCTACTTAGTGAAAATAAACTCCCAACAACAGGATGATATAATGCAAACTACACTGCAGGTATGGGAGGCTTGATGCCCTCTGTCTCCACACTCTTTACAGAAGAGGCGGTGAACGAGGTCAAGCGGCAGGCCATGTCAGAGCTGCAAAAGGCCGTGTCGGAGGCTGAACGCAAGGCTCACGAGATAATCAGCAGTGAGCGGGCCAAGATGGAGCGTACGGTAGCTGAGGCCAAGCGACAGGCAGCAGAGGATGCGCTCTCCATAATCAACCAACAGGAGGACTCCAGTGAGGTAGGAAATACACACCAACACTTCAAAACATCAAAAGGTGTAACACATCATGTCAACTGTCATTGTCATCCTCTTGTTTGGCAGTTATGGCATTGTGTCTTTCACTGCTGACACTTTGTATTCTTTTGTTGCTACTGACTCCCAAATGACACATACTATAGCATCTTGTCTTTCAAAGACGTTTCCATTGTATTGTATCATCGTATTTGTAAAAGTAAATCATTGTGACTTTCCAGTATCAAAGAGGTTGCTGACTGTTTGCAGCTTTAAATTTGTTTCTGAAAATAGTTCTTTTTTTATAGTTAAGAGATCAATATATAGCAAAGCAAGTTCAGTCAAATATCTGTTCCCCTCACTTTCTGCCATCCTCGGAGAGAGTAGCTAGCATATTTAGAAAGGTGTTACTAATTCAGCTGAGAGGAAATAAGGGATGGGGCTGTCTTTTACTAATCACCACTGATGATTAATCAATTAAGTGCAGGAAATATGCCTCACATCTGGAATTAATTGCAGGACAAATGTTTATGAGAGAGAAGATCCCCAGAGGAACTTTCAGAAACTGTGTATGAACTTGTTCCCTTATTTTCTGTGGATATGCAGCCACCCTGACATGCCCTCCCTGTGATTTCTGAGTTATATAAGAGGTCCTAAGTATAATAAGTGATGGCTTGTTGATCTGTTTGCAGCTTGTTTTATGCTTGAGTATTGCAAAGACAGTGGCTTGTTCTGTTAATGCGCAGACTGGTGTTTCCTGTCATTCACCAAACTTATGGTTATCCTTTTGTTATCAGAGGCATAAAATACAACAAACCTACCTCTACAGTTATATCACTTAGCAGACATCCATCAGGTGACATGTCCAATTGTATGTCTGATTGTGAACCCTGCTGTTGTATTATTTTATGTACTAGTTAACTCGTCTCTATCTGTCTGTCAGAGTTGCTGGAACTGTGGCCGCAAGGCCAGTGAGACATGCAGCGGCTGCAACACAGCACGCTACTGTGGCTCCTTCTGCCAGCATAAAGACTGGGAGAAGCACCACCATGTCTGTGGTCAGACCCTCCAGGCCCAGCAGCAGCAGGCCAGCCAGCAGCAGGGAGGTGTTCCAGGGTCTGAGACCCCAGCTCCCATCAGCTCCTCCGCCTGCACCCCAAGCAGCGGGACTGGGAGTCCAGCTGCTACCCCACCTGCTGCTACCCCTCGCTCATCCACCCCCAGCACCCCGTCCTCCTCTGCCCTGGATGGCACACCACGCTAAGAGACTCACACAGATGATGGAGGCCAAGGCCTCCAGGGCCTAAGAGCTAGCCCTCAGCCCCACAAAGAGCATGACTGTCTACATTGCCTTGCAAAGGTAACTTGGCTAGAGATGGCAATGCTTCTGTCTATCTTGCAGCATAGTCATAGAAGGTGGAGGTCCATAATCAGGTCATATTGACTTGCCATGACTTTAAAGAAACACAAAGATATTCTTTGTTTTGAATGAATGAATTTAAATATTGACATCCTTTTATTGTTACATTAGCTATTCTTGTTGTCTGTCATTGTGCCTGTCGCTATTAATGTTGCTGTCATTGTATCTTATGTTATTTTCTCCTGTAAATATGAAGAAACTGGGCAGAGATAGCTGTGAACTGAAGACAAGCTTATCTGACTTCCCCTTTATTAAATCTTTTTATTTTCCATCCTTAAATTAATGCTTATTTCCTTCCTATACCTGGGACATGAGAGTAGTCAACCTCAAGAAGACATTTTACCAAACATACCAAGGGACATACCTAGCAAACAAATAATGGAAGATATTAACATTCTTTGTAATGAAGAAATTAGATTTAAATACCATGAAAGAAACACCAATGGATGGATAGATAAACAAGTTTGCTGTCTGGAAAGGGACGGACTTGAATCTCTGGTCCACAGACCTCGATGAAATGGGCAGATGTGCAGCAGATTGCAAGCAGAGCCAGCTGTTCAACCAATGTTATTTCCCTCTCACTTGTAATAATATCCAGGTCAATGGGCTGGTAAATACAAATCCGTCTCCCTGAAGGATGTAAAAGGAAGAATTCTTGGACGAGAAACAAAACTTTGCCCACTGCACATGTGGAGGATGTATTGACTACAATTTACACATATATGCTTGGTGGGTCACAGAAGCTCTCAAACAGGAAGTGAATTCATCATCTTACCAGTGAGACTGTCAGATCACCTCGACGGCAGCCGCTGGGCCACTCAGCGCTGACAACCTACAGTACGGAGACTCACTCCAGATGCTCCCCTCCTTCTCAACTCTGAAAAAACATTTTCATCTTTATTCATGTTCTTGTTCTTTTTCTGTAGATGTCACGGTGTTTAAGACTTCTGTCCTGTGGTGCCATCAATGGTTATTTATTGTATATGTGTTGGACAATTGTGACAATGCATAGTACTTCAACCAGTCATAAGTCCTTCATCTCTCTATCTCTCTCTCTCTCTAGCTGGTGCAAAATGAGATAAAAATAGAAGTGTTATCTTTTTTTCCAAGCTGCTTTCCTATTCTGTGTGTAAGTGGTAGATCCCTCGTAGTTCTATAAGTTTTACTTCCCTTTGTCCTCATGAAAAGACACAAGCTATATCTCAGAGCTGCTACTTGAGTCCTATCCAGATCTTTTCTGAGAACTAGCATGTTGCGCGGAATGCTAACCTAAATGTTTTGTACAAGGGACATACATAAATGTATTTGCACTGTCACAGAGGTTATTTCGGCATGCTTCTTTTCAGCATACTTGTGTTGTCGGTATAGAGCCATAATTCATCCGCCATGTTGTATGTAGTGATGGCATTGTCTGTTGTTACACTTTTGAGGGTGGGAAGAATTTGAAAAATGTAAAATCACCATCCCATTTATTATTTTTTTCCACAACATGCTAACAAAAGCAGCCATAATGTTTTTTGAATAGTTACAGACAGTGCATGCACATTACTGAACGTTTGTTAAATATTTGTTATTTTTTAGAAAAACTTAAAATCAACCAAAAAAAAGTTAAAATACAAATAAAAATTAAAATTAAAAAAGCTAACTAACAAACTAACTTTCCAAATGCAGAGGTGTAGACTCCGATTGACAGCTTTAACACTACAAAGCACCAGGTAACACAGTATTAACACACACACACACATACACACACACACACAAAACACCAAAAACAGCCAAAGACTGACACCAAGGACCAAAATCCTGATTTAAACAATTTTCAAAAGAGGTTTGTTCACAGACATTTGGTTTATTTATTTCTGCCAGGTTTTGTTCACATATTCTTGAAATAAAACCAATTTCAGTGTCATAAAAGTAATTTATTTGAAACCTTCGTGGAAACCAATGGCACTCGTCTTACATTGTGAAATGAGAAGGTGTGAATGAAACATAATGAACATTTCACAACAGTGTTACATTTTAACTGGAGCAATAACTAATATGACATGAACACTCATGACTTTTAACAACTTTTGAACACATTTTTGGGATTTCTTTCAAACTTTTTGTGCATTTTCTCATTACACAAATGTCAGATTAAGTGCCCATTTCAGCTTTAAGCAGTTAAGTTCTTTATTCTTAAAGAGGTTAATGTGAGACTGGGCTTTCACACCAGTGCCATTTACAGCTATTTGTTTTTATTTTTTCAGAGTATGGTTTTTTTGGGGGGGGGGGGGATAGATAATTAGTCACAGCATTGTTGTAAACATTCAATGTAAATCAAACAAACCTCTCATTCGAGAGCACTTACCCTGACGCACACAAAGACTCTTCATCCCAAACACCTTGGTGCTACCCAGAAGCACCTTACAAATTCTGACCTCAAAGAACAAGTGGAAGCCCAAGTAGGTTCTGGGCAGTTTGCTCCCTCTGTACTTCCTCATCTCTCCCTTCTTGTCTAAATAAAACACACCTGCATTCTTGACTCTAAAGGGTTAAACAATCCAAAAAGGTGTTTGACACCCTACTTGCGACTCCTCAGAAGCTGTGAAGAAACAGCCAAGCTGTTTTAACAATAGTGTATTTGAAAGTATACATCAAATGACTTGTGTGTTCATCATGATCAGGGCAAAACCTGGGTGTAAAAAAGTAAGCAGACATTATCATCAATGATTCTTTGAGAAGCTCTATTTTTTTTTTCTTTCTTCCCTCCTCTATGTGTGTTTTGCTACAAATTCCTCTGTGGCAAACAAGTCTCACTCTACCTCTTACAGCACGATAAGAGCATCAGTCGCAATGCTGATACTGGTCTAGTCGAAACCAAATGGGCACAAGAGAACAGGAAAATAAAAAACCCAAAGTTGAAGCTCATACAGCTGCAAAACCATATCACTACTTGGTAACAATGCAGACCTCATAAGTAAATGACATCTAAATGAATACAAATGAGAAAAAAACTGAAAAAACTTTTATGTTCCTTTATGCCTGTGGCGTTTCTAGAGTACATCAAGAGTTTGAATTGTTTGAGCAGATTTGAAAAATTGTGCTAATTTTAAAGAAAAGTGTTGTCGATTCCTATTTCGATGATACAAGGAAAGGTCACGGATGAGAAATGTTTCTCCCTTCCTCTTTTTTCTCCTGTTTCCCATCCACCGTTTTCTCCTATACTTTTTTGTGAGACATGCTGTAGTGCTTGTCGTCCTGTCAGCTGAGGTAAATTCAGATAGGGGAAAATCTTGTAAAAAACAAACAAAAAAAAGATTAAGGCTATGAATTTAGGAATACCTGTTTTTCCTAATGGGGGAAATGTTATTTAAATTTCCTACTTATCAAGAAAGATCGGGGAAATGTGTGGGGCCAACAGTGATCAGCAAAGGCCATAGAATTAACCTGGGAGTGAGTTCAGGGGTGGGAGGGTTTTTGCATTCTCTTGAGAAAATCTATTGTGAAAAAAAGCTAAAATGATTTGAAGTTGTTGTGCAATACTTAATTGAGACATGAAAATCACAGGTTAGTGGTAGGCTGACACTGGGCGGTCTTTACATCGCTTAGGGTCAGTGTCCTCTAGAGAGCTTTCCAGTCTACTATGTCAGAACTGTGGTTTCTTGTTGATTTTATTTCCTTCATTTGCTTTCTTTCTTTTTTCTTTTTTAAATTCTTTTTGGGCTGTAAACTATGGTCTGTCAGTCTGTGAAACTTTGCAGTATAATTCTGGTATTGTTGTTCTCTTTACGGTGTAATAAATATGTTAATACCTGCCTTGGAGACTTGACACTCATGTTCTTTCATTACAGCAGCA